GCCATGTCCCGCCTGCAACTGAGTAAATGAGGAATTTAAATACTGCAGAAGAGACTAGGGCAGCTCAGAGGGGGCGCACTGATTAAAGGCCACAATATCTACTTTTGGAACCAGAGGATCTGTCAACAGGAAACATGAAGAGGTGTACTGGAATAATGGGCAGTTAATGTGAAGATAGTTATTGTTGCAGCAGTTTTAGGGAGGGACACATGTGCAATGCACACACATTTGGGAGCTCCCCTACTGTCTGTATTGATGGGTAATTTATCAAACGACATCTTGTTCAGAGCGGAGAGAAAATTTAATCATGTACCTCCAGATCCTGATGATAATCATGAGATGTCTCTTGTAAATGATCTCAGTGAGTCGATTCACTGTTGTTCATTTTACAAAGCTTTTCATTTGCTAGTGTCTCACTCCGAGTAATATGAGCAGGTGAAACCACATGCATAAAAGAACAATTACAGAATTAGCATCCATCCACTTTCTTCCGCTTACCTGGGGCTGGGTCATGGAGGCAGCAAGGACTCCCAGACTTCCTTCCCGCTAGACCCTTCTCTCAGCTCCTTCGGGGGACCCCGATGCGTTCCCAGGTCAGCCGAGAGACATAGTCCCTCCAGCTTGTCCTGGGTCTTCCCCGGGGCCTCCTTCCGGTGGGACATGCCCAGAACATCTTGCCAAGGGAGACACCCAGGAGGCATCCAGAACAGATGCAGCGGCTCTACTCCGAGCTACAGAATTAGGAATCTAAAGGTAAAGGTTGACTATGTAACATTTCTCCATGGTGGCAGAGGGTGGGGGCCTTAAAGTTACTTTTATTCAACCAGCAAGTTTTTCCTTGATTGGAAAGGACACAGGCATCTCCCAGAAGATAAGACAATGAAAAAGAGGCATCATTGTGGAAAAAAAAATAAAAAATTCTCAGCTTTTATTTACATTTGAACAAAAAGTTGCATGTCCAGAATTATTCATACCCTTCTCAATAATCAGTAGAAAAGCCTTTATTGGCTATTACAGTAATCCAATGCTTCCTATAATTGCTGACCAGCTTTTTGCACTGATATTTTTGCCCACTCATCTTTAGCGATGAGCTCCAATGCTTTCAGATTGGAGGATCTCCTTGCCATCACCCTGATCTTTAGCTCCCTCCACAGATTCTCAGTTGGATTCAAGTCAGGACTCTGGCTGGGTGCAATAACCATTTCTTCACCACTTTTGCAGTGTTCCTCTGCAGGCTGCTTGATGTTGTTGTTGAGAATCTTGATCTATTGCTTCCACCCATTCCATCCCTCCCATCTAGGTTCCCACCACAATGTTTGACAGTGGGGATGGTGTTCTTAGGGCTGAAGACTTCTCCATTTTTACACCAAATCATCAATACATCATTGTGGCCTAACAATTCAATTTTTGTTTCATCTGACCATAAAACAAAAGACCAAAAGTCTTCTTTGTCCAGATGAGCATTTGCAAAGGCTAAATGGGCTTTTGTGTGCCTTATCTGGAGAAGTGGCGTCCTCCTTGGTCTACGTCCGTGGAACCCAGCAGTATGTAGTGTCTGTTGGATTGTCTGCCTTGAGATGATGTCACCAGCAGAGCCCAGATTCACCTGAATGGCCTTGGTGGTGATCTGTGGATTCTTTTTCACCTCTCTCACTATCGTCCTGGCCAGCACATGTGTCACTTTTGGCTTCTGACCACATCTTGTGAGCTTGTCCACAGTGTGGAACGTCTTGTATTTTTTTAATAATTCTTTGCACTATAGCCACTGTAACTTGAAAACATTTAGATATGGCCTTATAGCCCATTCCTGACTAGTGAGCAGCCACAATATGCAGCCGTAGCCCCTCAGAAAGCTTAGCCATGACTGTTCACAAACCATATGCAAAGACCTACTGTTTTTCACCTGTTCAGTTGCTTAAAACAGCTCTTGTGCTGTTTGGAATGGTATAGAACTGTAGATTTTTCCATAGACACTGAGAAATATTTTTTTACACAATGATGCCTCTTGTGCATTGTCATATTATCTTCTGGGAGACGCCTGTGTCATTTCCAATCAAGAAAAAACTTGCTGGTTGAATAAAAGTAACTTTAAGTCAAAATAAAACTATATTAAAGTTGTTTTTATTCTAAAAAAAAAACAAAAAAAAAAACTGCATTGTGAACATGAGCAGGAATGTAAAATGAGTGTTGCTTATCTTTCTAGAGATTGATAAGGTTAATGCCATATTGAGGAACATTGCATGCAAATAAATACCACCTCCAACTGAAAAGTGACATACAGTGCAGTTTCAAGAGTCTGGTGTTTAGATTCACAAAAGAAGGCCAACAATAATAAGATGTGGTGTTGGCCCGACTTTGTGTTTAAATCTTTGCTTTTCACTTGTCTTTGTTTATTAAATCCTCACTGTTATGTTTGTGTTAATATATTACAATTTACATATATTTTTATTAGTTAACTATATCCTGCACAGAAAAAAAGGATTGTGCCCTTTTTCACACATTTCTTCAGCCTTGGGAGTTTTCTCATTCATAGTATAATTGATTTATAAGAAAAAAAAAACATGAACACACGGACATTTCGCAGTGTGATACAAGTCATATGACACAAACCATTTGACCTACACAATAGCCTCAACTCAAGTGGTTAGGTGAAAGTTAGAAACACTTAATCTTACGTCAAAATATGATTTAAATATTAGTGGAAACATTTTCCTCTGTAGTGAAATAGAGAGCATGGCAATTCTGCATACAACTACCAGTAGCATGTTAAATTGACATAATGTTTCTCATAATGTTCTTTCTTCTGGACGCGTTTGAAAATTTGAACAGAATATTATTGAAACATAGATTGCAAATCTAATAACAATCACAATATTCAGAATTAGATATTTTTCCCACATTACTCAGCCCTAGTCTTGTGTATGTTTCTACTGACTTGAGAAAAATGTAACACTAATTATATTAATTAACAAAATTATACTAATTTGGGCCAAATAAAATATTTTTAGCGTTATTGTTTCTCTTCAGGGTTCTGCATGTAATATTATAGAATGAATTGTAAATAAAATACCTCATGGGACAGTTTCCTCTGCAAGTTTATTCCCACGTCATTGATTGGGAGGGTGTGAAATGTTGACAGTCACATCTGTAGGTGGAGACACTGTGACCAAAGAGAGTAAAAAGTCATGTGTGAGACAGAATCAGATTCACTTTGAGATGAACCACATCTATGTCCTCAAGTCTCCAGAGAGTTGGGGAACTTTATGTTTTTAGCTAGCATTAACTTACAAACTTTTAAAGGGAGAGAGAAAAAAGAGAAAGCACTAGTCACGCCATTCAAGTCACATCCATGCCAGTGGCAAAGAGATAACTGTACATAAGGTACAATTCTTGAGGTATTATCTATGAGTTTAAAGATTTAACTGTAATTTAAAAGGCAAAATCTAAAGGTGTTATGTGAATCATTATCGAAATTTCAAATTTCATTTGGCACTTTCTCTTTTAGTCTCAACAGCAATGACCACATGAATCACATAGACCAGGGGTGTCAAACTCATTTTGGTCCGGGGGCCGAATCCAACCTACTTTGATCCCAAAGGGGCCGGATCAGAAAACTCATGGCATATAAACCCCAAAAACAGCAATAAGTTCAAATATTTGCACAGAGAAACACAAATCTATTACAGAAATCTTTTTTAACTGATGAACTGTTTCTTTTACAAAATATTATAATATTATGAACAACCTGAAACTTTAAGAAAAATGCAATTTCAACACAATGTTCTAACCTGAACTTGTATGCAAACAGGAATAAGTCAGTTTTCTTAGACAATCCTGCACTCGGCTCCACTTTTCTCATTTTTGACATTTTGCTGATGAGGGTGTCACGGTCAACAGTCAAAACGATCGTCCTTTAAGAACGTTTGGAAAGACGCAAGTCGTCATGTGTGCTGCTCTGGTGGGAGGGGCCACGTACAGAGGCGCTGGAGACGCTGTTATGCTAAGCACCGCAGAAAATTACCAATATTTTAATAGAAAATATTATTAAAATATTTTAGTAGAAAATCAGCCGAGGGCCACATTAAAGGTCTTGGAGGGCCGGATCCGGCCCCCGGGCCTTATGTTTGACACCTGTGACATAGACTGACACACTATAGTACTCTTGGATGAAGGATGAGGTGACAGTGACATACACAGGTGTACACATAGTGTATTTCTTACCCACAAGTTCTTCTTGTCAAATTATGGATACTTACTAGAAGAGCCTACACAAATAATGATTTAACTTAGGTGGGATAAAGAGTGTTTGCAATATGACACATAATAAAAGAGTTAAACAGTTTGTTAATTTCTATCATGAAATTAATATTTGTGTGTCTTACAACAACAGTTGTAATAGGATAGTCAATATAGTACTGAAATAACACTGATCAAATCAGAGGTAAAACAGTTCAGAAATAGTCATTCCTGATGTCTGATACCTGATGTATTACAACAATTCCCACCAAAAGAGCATGCAGTATCAAGAATTCTGAAAATCCACCCATCCAAGTTATGAATGCTGTTTATAACTCAAAGGGTTCTAGAGGCATCAGATTTTTTTAATTTGGTTGATTCTACCTGACAGACCCAAACCACGTGCTAACATAGTCTGTGAGATAATTTGGGTTTCCGTGTGATAAACCTAAATCTTAGACTTTAGCTTTAGCCTTTAGGTTAGCTACTGGTTTTTATGTCTAATGAACTGAACTCACCTTAATTCGACTAAAATCATAACTGAAAGTTATTTCTTTACTCCGTACCAATTTTCTCATGTCACTTGGCCACCGTTCTTTTTACAAACGGGAATACGCAGTTTGTTTCTGGGCAGTGCGCTTGTCGCGCGCAGAGCTCTGATTGGACAAGAGCTGCGCAGCATCCGCTCACGCACTGGAGACGCCCCCGCCCTTCAGAGCAAGTCAAAAGTAGACTACACATGGAGATGTTTGAAAAAAGGTTTTGTATATGAACTGTCATCTCCTTCCCCTAGGGAAGACAACGTTTAAAGAAAGATGGCAGAGGAACTACTGGTGGAAAAATATGGAAAAATTACAGGGGTAAGTTAAAAATTAGGTTTAGTTTTAACATAATATTTCAAGCAGGTTTTACTGGATTATCGTATAAATATTGATGTTTTAGATAATATATTTAACATGAGTAAGTGTAAACTAAACTAAACGTTTCTTCCCTTTTCCCATATGGTTGCTTAACATGATGATAAGGTCGTATCTGACTGATAGCTAACAAGCCTTAATTGAATGCTGACTGCATGGCATTGTCTGTTTTGAGCTATTTTCAGTGTGGCTCTGCTAACTCACTCCTTCCGCTAATAAACATCAAATTAGGTTTCCAAGACTTCAGTGCTGTGCTCAGTCTCATTCAGACACTGGGTGTTATTATTTCTTGTTTAGAGATGTTACTTTGTCGCTCTCATGTTAGACTTATGCTCAACTTCACTGCCCAGTGTAACTTATGCTATTCTATAGTACAAATAGTACAAAATGTAGTTTACAGCTGCGATGCGGGGGTGCTGTGTATTTATATATATATATATATATATATATATATATATATATATATATATATATATATATATATATATATATATATATATATATGTATAAACAAAACTCAATATATTAATCTGTCCATCTGTAATTTTAATATTGAAGTAAACCACCTTTGTTTTATTGAAGTAATTTGCCACTAGTGTTACAGTGGGTAAAATAAGTTAAAATAATGGGCATAATATGAGGCTGGACAGTAATTAATCTCTTTTGTGGTTAAATTATGAGTAGGTCTATAATTTCTCCTTGTTTCAGCATCTCACACGTTCACTGCTGTTAGTGGCCTTCTTGTCATCATTTGGGAGCTCCATGTTGTACGGCTACAATTTGGCTGTGGTCAACTCTCCAGCCCAGGTTTGTCATTCTCATATTAACAACACTGAAATTAATGATATGTAACCCAGCACCTGTCCTGAAATGACTCTCTATAGATACATTAAAGGGCCCATATTACTCTATTTTCTGATCTGTGTTGCAATGTTGCTTGTTTCCACATCAAAAACATTCATGCAGTTGTGTTTTGTATCATCCACACGTGTTTAACATACAATCCTTGCATATTTAGGCTGAGTTTTCTCTCAAACCAAACTGACTTGGAGAACTTTCAGAGAGCTTTCGACATGTAGACAGACAAATAAACCAGAATTACTCAAACATGTGTGAATGAAGTAAAACAAAACTCCAGATATGCTTTTGAGGAGGTAACAATCTTCTAACATGACTTAAAGCTCACAAGCATGATAGCATAATATAGGATCTTTCAGTATATTGTGGGGATCAGATTGAGATGAATTGTCATGCACAGTCATGTGCTCAAGTGTGTGAAATCTTCAGTTTCACCATGTCACTGATGTTCCAACTTCTTTTATACATCACATGATCCACACTGTCTGCTCCATATCTGATTTGTAATGGGACGGTGACTAAAGGCCCAGGCCATTCCATGCACCATTTGAGATAGCAGACAGGCACACAGAGTGTCCCACTAACCAAAGAATCTTCTCTCATCAATATAGTATACTAAAATTTAGCTGGTTGAGTGCTTGTTTGATTTTTTCACTCAATCTCAATCTCTGATTTGATTTTTTTCTTATTATAAATGTCTTTTAATCATTCCCAGCTGAACTAAAAATAAGTTACGTTTTGTTCTGCTTTACTGACAAAGGTTTGGCTGTCCTCACTGATTAAAAGGAAAAAACAAAAACAAGCTAAACACTGACAATTACAAATGAGTGAAACTCAATTTGAATTTGATTAATTGCACACCTCTCAGAATTGTTGAACAAAAAGCAACAACAAAAATGCACTACAAATAAGAAATTAATACTTTGAGAACTAGGTTTGAAAATGCACTAGTCTTTTTCTAACATTATATTAAACAACTGTCCTGACAAACAAGAAGTTATGACAGAAAAAGTTATAGCACTTCCACTCGAGACCTATTAAGACAGAGTCACAATGGATCATTGTGAGTAGTTTTCTAATCTTAGTACACTGTCCTATTTACCTTAAACTGCAGCGAATTCATTGAGGTCACACCTGTAAGCACAGTCTTCAGAATGGAACCATGTCATTTCTGATTAGCTCCACTTCTGTGCACCAAAAGTAGGTCTAAAAATGACCCAAAGATATTTCATCATAAGTTTGGGCAAAACAACCCTTTATCCTATTAATTGTGCAGTTGAAGTGTTGCATTGTGTTTAAAAAATAGATAAATAATCTGAGCTTCTTCTAAGATCACAGCTATATAGATGTTGACATTTGAGTTTATGGCGCCCTGGGAAATGGTTAATGAGGTGACGATGTGGAGGTCCAGTTTATTGGACACCACTGCTAAAAGCAATTGGTGCCAAAACGTTGCTCTTGTTTATCATAATGTGTTTTTTCCCCACAGTACATCAAAGAGTTCTATAATGAGACTCTCACTGAGGACTATGGTTGGGAGACAGATGAAGAGTTCCTCACTGTCCTCTATTCCCTCACCGTGTCCATCTTTGCCATCGGAGGGATGACTGGGGCCTTGCTGGTTGGCCGACTCGTGACCACTTATGGGAGGTTGGCGGATCAGTTCAGTTCAAATCATAGACTGTATAAAGAAGTGAACTAAGAGAGTGTGACGTCACCCATGGCATTCAGCTCCAGTCAGATGAAGCTCATGATTCTAGCAGTAACAGCGAATTTGGACTCCCGTTCCATATTAGGAATACGAATCCATTTACTGAACAAAATAGTAGTGGGTTAATATGAACATTTTAAGACCAAAATGACAAGGTTCACAGCAGCAGTTTTAGATCTGTCTCTTGAGAGAGGGGTGACACTTTTTCCATGTAAAGTCAATTGGAGTTGATGGAGCCAGAAGCGCCCCCATATGAGCTCGGCGGCTAGCGGGTTAGCTATGTCCATTTTTGTATACAGTCTATGTTTCAAATGTGTGAATGCAATGTGACTTAATAATGAGGTCCATCAATGTCTGTCCAAAAAGGAAAGGGACACTGGTAAGGATCACAGTGCTGGTGTTTTTGGGAGGAGCTCTTATGGGCTTCAGCAGGACCTGCAGAATGCCTGCCATGGTCATCCTGGGACGGTTTATCACAGGGGTTCACTCAGGTAGATTTGAAAGGATACAAATGTATAAAATGTTTACAGTTTTAATGGTTTATTTTCTTTTTATCTTGACGAAAGGTATCTCCCTCAGTGTGGTACCCATGTATCTGGGTGAGATTGCCCCTAAAAACTTGAGAGGTTTCTTGGGTCTTGTTCCCAGTATCCACATTTGTTTGGGAGTCTTTATCGCTCAAGTTTTGGGACTCGGGGAACTGTTGGGAAAGGTTTGTGAAGCATGTCCAAATAATATTGTTTGATCTAAGTCTCTACAGTGTGCTGTTCATTTACTATGCTCTGAAAACATTTTTTCTTCTCACAGGAGGAGCACTGGCCTCTGCTCTTATCTCTGGTGGTTTTTCCGACAATGGTCCAGCTTCTGTTGTTGCCATGGTTTCCAGAGAGCCCTCGGTACCTGTTGATCGAGAAAGGAAATGTTCATGCCACTATTGCAGGTTATTGTTTGTACTTGTCTTTTTATTGCTATATATTTTTCTGTAAATATGAATAACATTACCAGATGTATTTACATTTTAAAAAATCACATGGACCCAGTTTTTAGACATTCACGTACAATTTTAAATTAATTGCATAATTTATGTTTATAGAGAGTCATTAAGAAAGGGAAAGGATTATTGTTTCCTTTAGACTTCAATCCTAGCTGTGCGCAAAGGAAAAGCAAAGGGACAATGATTATTTTTGTATTATTACATTATTTTGTCATTATTGAAAGGTCAGTTGAATTTTTCATTCTAAAAATAGACGTTGTTCTTTCTTATTGCAAACATGTCTTTTCTGTCTGGTAATCTTATTTTGTTTTCTCCTCAAGCCCTGAAGTGGTACCGGACCAGAGGGAACATCCAAGCGGAGGTGGAGGAGATGCAGGAGGAACAACGCTCCCTGACTTCCATTGAGACCATCTCAGTGAGAGGGCTGCTCAAAGACCGCTCTGTGCGCTGGCAGGTCATCACCATCTTAGTGGTCAACATTGGCATGCAGCTGTCCGGCATTGATGCAGTAAGTAAGCGCTTATCCATGGGTTCCATAGTAATGAAAATCTAGCACTGTTGTCATAGCAATTAACAATTCAAAACAATATATTATATCTTCTGAATGGGCATAAGTCCTCAAGATATCACCTATATGATGAACCTCATGAATATTACTGTAAATACTGTATTCAACACATTGTATACATTTTCCAGCATAATAACAGTTTACTGGTGAAATTGCCCTGTTTTTATATCAGGTTGGTGTCAAGTACAAAAAAAGAAATAGTAACTCAAATCTAATTTCAACATATTTGAGTTGGGGTATTAATTTCCTATGTATATAGATAGAAGTTAGTAGAGAAATCATAAAACATAAATCCATAAAGAAGCGCTACCTTTCTGCTGAAAATATTTTCCAACTCTTTGTGTCGCTTTATGTGATATAGAGTGCAAGTTTGGGCATGTTGCTGAATAGTGATGAAATGCTATACATGTGGTTACTAAATCAACAAGACAGCATTTAACTGCGCCCGTCACAAGCTCGTCTACACCTCATCAATGATGGATGTTGCATCAGCAAAGTGTGATTAATGAGGATACACAAATTAATTTCTAGGGGAGCACTTGTCAGAAGTCCATACTGATAAAACGCCATATCTCAAATGCATGAGTGATGGTTGTTCTGATAATAACGATCACTATGATGGATCATGTGTAAACACTAAATGAGCACAGCCAATTTCTGCATGCCCATGAAAATACTATATATTTCAAAGTGCGTATTTGTGTGTCTTTGTGATACATGTTGGGTCAATGTCAATTACAGATTTGGTTCTACACAAACGATATATTCAAGGACGCTGGAATTCCTGAGCCTCACATCCAGTACACGACTGTGGGGACAGGAGCCATTGAAGTCATCTCTGGAATGTTAGGGGTGAGTTCCTCCAAGGTTAAACTGCATCTTCTAAATTCTGACAGATATTTGTAGACGATTTGGACTATGCAACTTTGCAATCAATAGTTTTAGCAGAAGTCATGTTATAACAGTAGTTGTGGATAAATATTTAAATTATGAATTGATATATTGTTTTCTTGTGATTAATTGCTACATTTTACTGTGTACGTATATTTTATGTCACATCAGTTGTATGATTGTATGTTAATTCTGTTAGAGCATATCCATAGTGTAAGTGAATGTGTTTTGATGTGTTGCAGTGTTTCACCATTGAGCGTCTGGGTAGAAGACCTTTGATGATCGGTGGATTCCTGTTTATGGGAGTGTGCTGTGCTGGAATTACTGTGTCTGTCCTTTTACAGGTATTCAATTTTATACTATTTTCACATAATTTAACAGTTATTATATCCTCATTTTACATAGCTTCTGCAGTTACATATGAGTTTCATTTATCAAATTATTATTTATGCATATTATTTATATATTATCTTATATACAACTTTATTTTAGATTCTGTTTAGAATTACAAATTACCACACCCACAACTCATCCAAAAGCTGAGTTGATTTCTAAATTAACAAGTACTATACAAATGCATTTTAAGGCAACTCTGATAGCATTATTTTGATTTCTTATCTTGTAATTAAAATGTGTTTTTTTTTAATGCAGTCTTGTGTAAGAAGAGCATTTGTTTTTGCTGTTTTACAGCCTCATCTAATAATCATGCGGTACGTCAGTGTAGCCTGTGTTGTTGGGATCATTGCTGGCTTCTGCATTGGCCCAGGTAAGACATCTCCCATGCTAATTAATATGAAGTGTAACTAACTCCATATGTGTAGTATCTCCATATGTGTGATCCCTATGCAACAACTCATTTGGACTGCCCTGTGTGTAAAGTAACACTGCTCCCTGCTGGACACTTTGATCATAGCAGGCACCAAACCACTTTCTGATAGTATTTCATAGCTTTTATAAATTAGGAAACCATAACTGCCACATACCCTCTGGTTCTTCCAACCATTTCTACACAGGAGGAGTTGAGTGAATTGAGAGGCAATAGTTTATAAGCTTTGGCGCCATGTTAAATTGGACCTATGAGGATGATGAATTCGAACAGAGCTGGTTTACATAATGCAATTCATCAAAAAGCAGCAAAATCCATACCTTACATACACTGATGATTTCTGTGGCTGCAATTACACTTTTAATAGCTCATTGTTCATAAGCTCTCCGTGATGTATATGGTTTCCTTCACAAGAAATGCAGACTGCACACTGAAGCTCTCTATAGCCACCACAGATGTTGACAAATTATGGTCTAGTTATTGGTTTGACAATATGAAACCTTCCTCTCCGCAATTATCATGCAAAGATTATGAGGGCAGAGCTCATCATTAAAGCCTTTACTAATGCATTTTTCAGCTTCACTTCTAACAATGAAGAATTATGTGTTGAACGCCTGGGCAATGCTATGCTATAGAGATACTGTTGTACTTCCAGCTAATGAATCGAGGAAGACACACTTTTGTGGCTTTTGTATTGCTAAGACAGAAGTGATCTATTTTATTTTGTGTTTTGCTTGTCACATTGAAAAAATAGTTACAGTTTGTTTTTGTGAAAGTACAGGAATTACTAATATAGAATTAACTAAACAAAAAGCATCATCTATGTTACTATGGCAATAATTATCACGTTTTTTAAAGTTGTTGTTGGGATGAAAAACTGGAAAAATGTGCAATGTACAATGTTTTGACTATACATTTATGTGAATTTAATTATTATCAAAAAGCACACATTTTGAGTTATTTCAGGCCACGTAACAATAGTTCGATGAATGCATTAAAATTTATGTTAATTTACTGACAAATAATACTCATTAACCATTTGGGCTATTAAGCTAATACAACTCACATTTGGGCACAACAAAATTTGAGTTCTTTTTAATCCAAGAATTTATTTCCCTTCGTTGTTGTAGCGGGGGTACCCTTCTTGATCACTGCAGAGCTCTTTAAACAGTCTCACCGTCCAGCTGCCTACACTGTGGCTGGCTGTCTTAACTGGCTGTCCAACTTCACCATAGGATTCCTCTTCCCCTTCCTGGAGGTATGATCTTTCATTCAGTAGTGTTGTACAGCTAAAGCTACAGACCTGTATGCCACACTAATAACCAATGTATGTATTATTATTGGCTTTAAAAGAGAAAGAGATAATAAGAGAGTGATAATTCCCAAATTTCTTCTCTTTTACTGCAAAGTTCATATGTAAATATAAGCCACCTGTCTATATTAGCAAATGTTATTATTCTATTTTAACTATTGTGGAGAGTGAGAAAAAAATAAAATAAAAATGTTATTTGGTCATAATATCTTATTTTGTCTTTGTTTCCTCAGATGGACATGGGCCCATATTGTTATCTGCTCTTCTGTGCAATTTGTTTGGGAGTAGCCCTCTACACGACCGTCATCATTCCAGAGACTAGGAATAAAACATTTATGGAGATCAGTCAGATGTTTGCCTCCAGAAACAACATCCTTGAAGATGAGTTAGCATCAAATGGACATCTCAAAATGTCTATGATGAACGGTTATGGGACTCTTGGAAACAGTGATTCAATGTAAAGGGCTAAATGAGGCTAAAGTTTTAAGAGAGTCTGGCCTTAGACCTCCACCCAGAGGACCCTACTCTGTTTGTGCAGGTTAATTAGCAGTTTTAAACATGTCACAAACAAAAAACAGATATTTAACTCTAAACATGGGCTCATATTTACAAGGGAGTGAATAGCATAATCATATTAAATGTAGTTTATCTGTAAATGTATTCCCATTACTTAAGATTAGACACAAATTTGTAATGGTTAAGGGTTTGGGCTTTTCTTTAGTATTAAAAAATGTCACTTTTGTAATGTTACGTTGAAAACAGTGGACTCTGGCCTCTGTCTGTTTACTTTTAGGGATCTGTGGATAGAGTCAAGTCACGTGAGGGACCTCCATGCAGAGGTCTGTGATGGATCCTCTGGTTGGAGGTCTGCAGCAAGATCCCTCTCTAACTTTTAGTCATTTACATAGAAAAGAGGAAATTTGCTGCTTTATGTACAAAGATCAACACACACTCAAACTAGTATGTTTAAAATACACCTTTCATCCCCAAGATGGACATCAAGCTGTAATGCATTTCATCTCAACCATCAGAGGAATTTTAATCAATGTTACCATGTCTGATACACTACGGCTCATGTTGTGCTCTAGTAACTGTACTATGTGTTTCAGCTAAACTTTTTTAATGTTTTATAGCAACTATTTTGTTATTTCTGATATTACTGATTACCAAAAACATATTAGCTTGTACAACACATTAAACGGGATCTTTCATATTTATTGTATTTATTTAATAGGAACATCTCCTACTATAACCTAATATCTGGTGTGATCTCTTTTACATGAAGGAGATAGAAATGCTATGGCTACTGTAGTAGTCATTTCAGCACTTACATTGGAAATGAAACAATCAAACATATCTGTATGGCTTATTGCTGTTGTATGCTTTTTTGTTTAAAATAGTTAACATATAGTGTATAATAAATTCTGCTAGTTCTACCTTTATTCTTCTCCTTTTGTCTTATCACTGAGCATTCACGTATTGATTTGGCATATATGGCTTTTATTTCTCTGACATTTATCCATTTATGGCTCCTGTTTGCCCCATAGTATGTTTAATGTTTTCAATGTTTAAAAGTAAAATACATGCCTAACATACAACTATACACCTCCACTTGATTGTCTTCATTGGGTAGTTTTCCGTTTTGTGCCAGAGCTGCAGATTTGGGACTATTACAGTGTAAAGGGAGGGATGGGAGCAGTGGTTCTCTCTCATGTGTTTGTACTTGAAGCCTCTGGGCTGGCTGATCCATCTGTCAGGCCCTGCAGAAGGACCACCGCCCCCGACTGGGGCTGAATGGATATGTTGTCACAACCCTGCTTGTTCTGCACAACACAAGAGAGCACTCTAGAGGCTAGACATCCACTATTATACTCTGACAAGGTTGTTAAATTGTCTGTGGAAAGTTATTTTGCTATTTGCAAGTACAACCACATTCTGAAGTATATTCCAAAAGATACACATTTTATACCTGATCTATTTGAAGAAAATGTAGCGGTAGATTGTGTTTGTGTCAAAGAAGAGCAGTCAAAGAAAGGGGTGGGCAGCGCTGCTGGGTTTGAGAAGGTCAGTGTGAGCAGTTGTTGATTTGCTGCTGAATGACAAATGGGCCGCAGTTTAACTCCTGGGAGAGGACAAACTGAGGCCCTGTTCCTCGTGCCTGTTCATATGTAACGTCACTCCCAAACAAAAGGGCTTGTCTCGATACTACAGTATATTTCTGTGGATAATGCCACGCCGCACTGTGCTTATGTGAAAACACACACCAACTCTTAACTCACTCCGCCTCGGGCAGCCACGAGCTATAAATCAAACAAATAGCATCACAGCCTGGCGAGGAGGCATTCCAACAGATAAAATGCTCTCCCACACAACAAAGCCACACTCACTGCGTAATTAATTGCAACAAATTACCTCTTCCTCTCCCCCTCGGCCCCCACCTCCCCGCTTTTTACAGCAAAGACAAGCGGTGGGCTACGCTGCGCGCACCTGTGCACGGTAATGACACCACTACACACAGTTACGCGCACACGCGCACAGGCCCTTCATAAGTGCTTTAATGTGGCTTATTGCAGTGTGCGCTCCCCTTAGCCGTGGAAATATTCGCTTGACGGATGTGCTTTGTCGCCGGCGCTCCCCGGCGGAGGGCGGCTGTCAGGGAAGAGATGATAACATTAACAGGGAGCCAAGGCGATGACAAATGCCTGTTATCAGCGAACGAGGCCGGTGACAAATCGAACGGCAGCGCCCAGGCAGCCCCGGCGCGGCGTAATAAAAAACAAGATGGATGGCACAGCCAGGCAGGGCCCGCGTTAATGCGATTTCGACTGCTCTCCCTGACTCCCAATTAAGGCTGGGGGGAAGAGGGCGGGGGCCGTAGCTGCTGTTGAGAGCGAGAAGAGGAGAGAGGAGGAAGAGGAGATGGTGAGGTGAAAGTGGGCTGATGGCTGATACAGAGGCAGATGTGAGGTTAATGCAGTCAATGGCACGAGAATGGAACGAGGAGGTTTAGTGCTGTGTATGCCTAGTCTCTTAAAAAGCAGCTTCTCTACTGTTCAAATCTGCACAGCCAAATCGAGGCCTACTGTTTAAAAGGTTGACGGACTATAAACTTTGTTGGTTTTCAACAGTTGACTTAAAACAGGGCCCCCCACTGAAGAGCAAGGACAAGAGAGAGTCTACAGAACATGGTCAGCAGCTTAAAGGTAGGCCAAAAATCTAAAGACAACGGATGTACAAGTTAAACTAATACAAATATTTAGCTTTTGTCTATTGTCTCAAAGTGAGGCGACACAATATAGCAGCTTTAATTGCAGCAGAGCTTTGCCTTAAGTGCTCACTTCTCCATCAGTGAGTGCCTCAGAGGTGCAGGTTGTTAAGTGTCTCTGTGGCCAGATGGACTCTCATTAGAGTCTATCTAACTGCGACAGTAATGAACAAAAGCCTTCAGCCTCACTGCTCACTTTAAATCCAACATGTCTGACCAAACGGCTCATGTCTGGACCGCACTGTTTCTTTGATTAGCACAATCAAGTGTGTCACAGTAAAAGACTAAGGACATCTGTGGCTGTGATTTCCTATTGGCTCAAGATTCAAGGGCTGCGCCCTAAATCATCTCTTATAAAAACAGGCCTGACAGACAGACAGCCTATTGCTTATAGAGAGAGCTATAGAGATGAGCTACGACTGTGTCCGTGATGACTGGTCCAACTCGTCTTGTCCAAGGCCCCAGATGTTATCAGTTGCTAAAAGGATCAGTGCAGGATATTGAGGAATGGCTGCAGGACCAGGGGCATCTGTGGCTCGACACCCAGGGGCTGCTGTTTTGTCACTCTGACAGTGTTTTATAAAAGGCTCAGGAAGCTCAGAAGGCCTGCACAAGTGAGCCCATATATCTCCAGCTATTACACCCAGGCTACGAGAGAGGCCCGAAATGACAATGAAATATGGTGCGGGCTACGAGGGAGAGAGGGAACAGGGACTAAAGAGGGACGTGTCGCACTCGTCATGAGGCCTGCAGGGAGTGTGCTCCAAATCAGCGACAGATGCACAGCTCTAGAGACACTAGCCCTCTGTATGAAGCACGCACAGGTGAAGACGTGTGGTTCAACACAAAGCTATGGAGAAAACAGCCTCTGCTCTCCTTCACTGATATTAGTCTGAAAGAACAAGGAGAGATTAGAGGCCTGCAGGGGACCGCAGCAGGAGGGAGGGGCCAAACCCAGGCACTGTGTCCCTGCATCATTAAGTTGTCAAGTGGACGCCGGGCCCGAAATATGACTGGGAGTTATTGCCAGGTCCAGGGCTGATGATATAAGAATTACAGTACATGGATCATAGCTGGATCGATAGGTAGACAAAGTCATTATAGAGGGGCTAGAGTTCAATGCGTCCCCGGGGGTGTGAGCAGGGACACAAGCTTATATTTATCACCTCGCACACACAGGTGGGAGCTGTGTAGTCTGCTTGTTGCACTTATTTCCAAAGCCATCAGTTTGGGCTATTGATTTTGTAGGTCCAATATGGCTCACAAATGAATGTGTTGGCGCATAAAGTTGTGCTGTCCATCTTTGTGTGTTTACAGGTAAGCTAAACGTCTGTCTCCTCATCGTCAACCGTTCGGTCACTCTTTGTCCTTCCCTGCTATGTCTTTGAGGCCAAGGAAAGTAGAAAGGATAGGGAGCACCACCAGGGCAGCATCGATCCGCTGTTTGCCAAGAGAAATTAGGCATGAAATTAAAGCTCCCATCAAAAGCCAGTGCCGGCGCTGTCACCTGATCCAGCAGTATTTATACTCCCTGGAGATGATGATGATGTTGTCAGCCTCACACTGGTGATAATAGGAGAGAGAAAGAGAGAAAAAGAGTCTTTGGTTCGCCTCCATCCTGCGCCGCTGACCTGCCATCATTTATACTGCCAGGACCCAAGTGCAAGGTTAGCGCCAGCCTGGGTCCTCATAAATCACTGCACTGCTGGACGGAGAGGGGCCAGGGTCAACGGCGCTCACAGCCAACCTCTGCTGATGAGAGAGTATTTATAGATCAGGCAGAGGGAGGAAGAGCAGGTAAGGGCTGTTCAGAAGGCTGGGTATTTATTGGACAATGTTTATTTATGTGAGTGAAGGTACAAGTGATGCTGTTAATTACCAGAACTGTAAAGAGTAGTGAATATTTAAGCAAATGAAAATATGCACATATGCTAATGATCCAGTTAGTTATAGTCCCGACCAAGCCAAGTTCTGAACATGAGTCCCAGGGTACTGCACTGCAGTCACCCACTGCACCTGAGAGGTTGACCTATAGGCATTGAAATGTGGGTCAAATGCAGAGGGTATTTTCCCACCGGGTAAAAAGTATGCATACTTACTTACTTACTTACTTTAAATGTATTGTTGCATAGACACATTAACAAGAAGAAGGATATTGAAAATAATCTATAAATCTATAAGCCAATATAAATAGGCATTATCAGAAACCCACTCAGCTTTGAAAAGTAGACTGACAGTTTTATTACCATTTAAGTCATGTAAAAACAACCATCTAATGTCATGAATTTGTTATTAGAAATTATATATTTCCATCACTGGTAATTACAATGAACTCTTCATTTGTTCATTCTCTGTCAACAAATTTATTCAAACATTACTGTAATGGCCTCTTTGAACTGTGGGGGGCGCCCATTCACAACACATGGTGCAGCACCTGCCCTCAGACTGCAGCACTTATGTTACGCAGGAGCGGGAGTTGCATGTACACACCTAATCAAAAACACAAACCTGTCTGCTTTCAGTCAAGAACACATCAAAACCATTTTCTCTTCAAGCTGCACTCTCATATGCAGCCACTGCCAAGCACACTGTTTTGACAGAAGTACAGTGGTCCAGCATGCTGCGGTGCTGCTGGTCCCGGGTAAACACAGGGTTAGACACCACAAGATGACTGGTTGTCCCTGTGACTCTCTCCTCACTAGCCACTTGCTGCAGGGCTACCCCTCCAGCAAAAATAAACTACGGGGACAAGGGCCAGATTTTGAAGAAATATTGCTTAAAAGTTTTCAGTGTCATATCAGGCTTTCCTGCACTTCATCTATCTCTCTAGTCTTGACATTTACAGGGTACACAGAGAAGATTATCTGTTTAAAATAGTAGCCCAATAGAAGTATTAAAGACAAACTCAAATGAATATAAACACAATGAAAAGTAACTGACTTTTACTCAAAAAATAGTATCAAACCCATGTATTTTAATTTCACATCTTTACTACAATAATTATATTGTTTCATCAGTTGCATATCTGTAACATAAATGCTGAAAAACAAAAATCCAGGTTGAA